GGGGGGAGTAAGAGGTGTCGAAGCGGACAGAGACAGAAATAAGGCAGAGAACGGGACAGTTTGCAAACCCGGCCAGAGTGATTACAAAGACACTTCGTTGTTCTCGCCACGTGGCGATACGCGCACGCGTAAGCTTTCACCCCACACTAATGGCGAGTTTGAGATGACCAAGATTTGGAACGAGACAAAGTTTTACTCACTTTACAGATAAATTATGTCGTTTCTTTGCATTTGCCAATGCTTTGGCGCTCCTTTTACATATGCCGAATACTGGCATCTTTCATTGCCAAAATTTTGGCATCACTGAAGCATGCATGTTCTGTACCTCTTTGAATGCCAGATATTGATGGTATTCTATGATAAAATGCCAATTAGTAGCCTCTTCACTGGAATAAGTTATCCGCCACGTGTATCACGTCAATTGATGATGATGAGACCATAGTTTTGTTCGTGTAATGTGACATGAGTTTAAGATCACACTAACTGATGGAAGGCCAGCTTAGAGGGTAAAAGCGTAACACACATGGCACACCACACATGCCACATGCCAAACGATGTCACCCCGTGTAGTGTGACACATGTCACATTAGTTTTTTCGATGTTTTTCTTTCCGTCTCAAACATTTGTTTCTTACATTAGTGCTTTTTTCCCCCGCCGGCGCGGGGTCAGGGTCACTCGCGGCGAGATTGACGAGCGGGCCAGCGCGGTACCAAGCGAACTCGAGCCGAACTGGGGCAGACGGCGCGGCCCGGGCCCGGCCCGTTACTCGCTCTGGCCGGAGCCGCCGGTCCCCGCGGTTATCATCAAAGGGAGTCCCTCGCAGCATTCCTGGTACTGTGGGGGACATCTCCGGCCACCCGCGCCCCATCGCACCGGCCGGACAACTGGGCGCAAGTGATTGGCTGCAAATGATTTGTGCGCTTCTCTGCATTCATCGGTCAAACGTGTTCGTTGGTTTCAAACGAAAATTTCTTGCGAGAAATTTAAGGCAACGATTTCAAATTATAAAAATACAAAATTGGACTTCTCCGAAAAGCAGTAATGGCGTGTCGTAGACTAACGACAGGTTCACTTTCACATCATTTAAAAATACCACATTAGGAGTCAAATTTGGGAATATCTGCTCAATTTTTGAGGCGGCTTCCTGACTGTCACCAAAAATGTTCCCATTTCTTCCGAGGCAGTCAAAGTTGAGAAATAGATGGATTTAAAACAATTCGAGTAGTTCTTGGTAACATGCGTACCATTGCAAATGATGATTCCCTGATACTTTGCCGCTATAATACTTGTCTTCCCGAAGAGGCCGCTCTAGCGGGTCATAAGTTGGCAATTTACCGTTCCGGAAGATTTTTTGAGTGGTCTGCCTAGGGCAAAAAATGAGCACGATGATACATCAGAGGAGTCTGAGTCCCGGGAGTTTGATTGGTCACTCGCACAAAACGAACGTACAACCCCAGGCCTCTCATTACCAAAGCAAATCTCTAATATATATTTTATCATTCAAAAAAAGTATGACTTGACCACTACTGAAACGAGGGTAGGCCACCCGCTCACCTCCGGTGTCAGCCACAGCAGGAGTTTGCCTAGCTACCAGGCGTTTAGCTACTGTTAGACCACTTTCGACAAAGCTCTTATTCTGTTCAATCTCTTTAAGTTAAGTTCTACACTCTGTACATGTGTGCCCCCTCCCCCTCCCTTTTCTATGCCACTGACGAGTGGGGAGCGGGCCGCGCCGAACACCGGAACGGCGTAGTTTCTGAGGTGCATCCTATCATCACTGACCCCCATCAGAATCTGAACCCCTGAAGAGGGACGGGGG